TTAGCTTTCCTGTTCCCTCCTAACCACATCACACTTTCCAAACGGCCTGGCCTGTCCTAATTAGAAAGCCATTTCATTACTTCGTCAAGCTGGGATCCCTTTGGGGACAGACCCAAATTAGGCCTCAGCCACGGAATTAGCTGCTGCGCTGAAGGAAGATGAGCCCCTTCGCTGGCGTGGCTGCCACTGACCTGAATCCCCGAGGCCGTGCAGGCCCGAGGACTCCCTGGGAGGGTGCGCAGGTGCACCATCTACGAGGTCGCCACCAGCCACGTGTGGCTATCGAGCACTTGAACTGTGGCTAGCAGCTCCCTAGTGAGACCGGGGAGCTGAATTTAAACCTTTATCACTCATGAAATTTCATTTTTTAAATAGCGACACATGGCCAGTGGCTGCTGAACCGCACGGCCCAGCCTCCTGGTCTCCCTGCGCCTTCTCCTTTCTCCCCACGTCTCTGCTGCAGCCACTCGGGCCACCACGTGGTCTGAGTGGTTCCAGCCTCTGTTGAGCTCTGACCTGTGACACACACACGCACACACACACACACACACACACACATACGTCTCTGCTGCAGCCACTGGGGCCACCTCTTGGTCTGAGTGGGTTCCAGCTTCTGTTGAGCTCTGACCTGTGACACACACACACACACACACACACACACTCACCGCTACCCTTTGCTGCCCAACCTCTCATTTAAACCTGGTCCCTCACTGATGGGGGAGGGGAGGTCCCCAGGGCCACACTGTAGCTCGGAATGGCCTTTTACCCCGTGTAGGATGGGTCACAGCCGGGCACTGTTGGGTACCCAGTGTTGGCCCTTCCTTTGGTGCTCAGGAGTCCACCCCTGTGGCTAGATGCCTGGCCCTGATGAACACCCCTTGGGGACCGTCTTCCCACCTCCACAGGACTCACTGCCAGACCCCACCGGTCACTGTCTGAGCCGCAGACCAGCACCTGCTGCCTCCTCCTGGGAGCCTGCCTTGATTGCCCCCGAGGATTCAGCCCTGGGCTGTCTCCGCTGGCACTCAGCCCTCGGAATCACAGATAACTGTGTCTGAGACTCCTTCACCCCGTCCTGCTCCCTTGGGAACGCGCTGCACGGATCACTGTATCCCAGGCCACCGCGGCCTGGGGGTGGGATAGGGAGGTGGGGGTGGGGATGGCTGAAGCCACACTGTCAGGGTAGCCCAGCTGGGCCCCGCCCCCTCCTCCACAGCCTCCCCAATTTTCCTGTCGCACTTCACTCGCGCTGACAACAGAGGCTGCTGTTTCATCCTCCCCAGCAGCGCCCCGGGGAGGCTGCGGGACGGCTTCCCCAGGTCCCGGTTCCCGCTGCCCAGGCTCTCAGCTGCGCGCTCTACAGGGGGCGCCCCCCCTCCCCGGCTTTTCCG